TCGAGGACGTCGTGTTCGTCATGGAAGACATCGACTGTGCGTCCTCCATCGTGAACGCCCGCAGCGACAGCGACACGAAGCCGAGCAAGGCCGACCGCATGTTCGACAGCCAGAAGAAGGCAATGGAGGAGGACCCCGAGGATGGCGTGGCCGGGCTGATGGGCCCCATGCTCAAGCCGAAGGGTCTCGAAGACAAGCTGAGCCTGTCGGGGCTGCTCAACGTGCTGGACGGCGTCATCGACTGTCCGGGCCGCATCGTCATCATGACGACGAACCACCCCGAGAAGCTCGACCCGGCACTCGTGCGTCCTGGTCGCGTCAACAAGAAGCTGCTGCTAGGACACATGGGCCCCAAGCAAGTGCAGCAAATGATCGAGTACTACTGCGACTCGAGTCTGTCCGAGGAGCAGCAAGCGCGCTTGGACGCCCTTTTCGTCGACAAGCGGACGCTGTTCACGCCTGCGGAGGTGGAAGAGTTTTGTGCTGAGTTTGACGACGTTGATTCGATTCTGGACGGGCTTGAGCAAGCTCGTCAAGCCCAGAGGCAGGGGGTAATGTAAAAAACAAACAAATACAATACCTTAGATTCATTTCGGTCTTCACGAAAGATATTGTGGCAAGGAAAGATATTGTGGCAACGCAACGAAAACTTAGGCAACATATAGAATACGCTAGGTGTGGATTTCTCAGTGTTTACCTGCTAGCACAAAGATCGAGATGAAATTCGTCGTGTGAAGTAATGAAACATGTAGTACTACTGAGAACATTTTGATGCTGTGAGATAGGTAGCGTAGGTAAGCTACGAAGTTTAAAGTTTTCGGGGCGGCTTTGCTTCCAGAGGGAGGTGACAGCGTTTAAAGTAAGCACGAAATTCTTAGCGATCTGTTCGCTGTTCAGGTAATGCAAAGATACTCATGCTTTTCGAAATGTGTAGTGCATGAAGTCAAGCTAAAATTTGCGATCTGAATATGCGAGATCGAATAAGTTGCGCAAAACGAGCTTGTCCGTGCATGCGGCGTTTGCTGAAAAACAACAAACCAAGAAAGTTCGACTTGGGCTGTTTGGTGCTACAATACAACTGTGGTCGAATAACTTTACGCCAAGGATACTTTCATATTTTTCCAACACATATTATATACGGTGCCTAACTTTTCCTTGCCACAATATCTTTCGTGAAGACCGAAATGAATCTAAGGTATTGTATTTGTTTGTTTTTTACATTACCCCCTGCCTCTGGGCTTGACGAGCTTGCTCAAGCCCGTCCAGAATCGAATCAACGTCGTCAAACTCAGCACAAAACTCTTCCACCTCCGCAGGCGTGAACAGCGTCCGCTTGTCGACGAAAAGGGCGTCCAAGCGCGCTTGCTGCTCCTCGGACAGACTCGAGTCGCAGTAGTACTCGATCATTTGCTGCACTTGCTTGGGGCCCATGTGTCCTAGCAGCAGCTTCTTGTTGACGCGACCAGGACGCACGAGTGCCGGGTCGAGCTTCTCGGGGTGGTTCGTCGTCATGATGACGATGCGGCCCGGACAGTCGATGACGCCGTCCAGCACGTTGAGCAGCCCCGACAGGCTCAGCTTGTCTTCGAGACCCTTCGGCTTGAGCATGGGGCCCATCAGCCCGGCCACGCCATCCTCGGGGTCCTCCTCCATTGCCTTCTTCTGGCTGTCGAACATGCGGTCGGCCTTGCTCGGCTTCGTGTCGCTGTCGCTGCGGGCGTTCACGATGGAGGACGCACAGTCGATGTCTTCCATGACGAACACGACGTCCTCGAAATCCATTTCGACTGGCGAATCCAATCCTTGCACCGCGAACTTCATGTCGAAGAGCGCGTCCAGCAGCTGCTGGTTCGTGTGGATCTTGCCGAGTGAGATCGTCACGATATGGCGTCGAGTGTGCTGGGCGACGGCCTTGATGAGACTCGTCTTGCCTGTGCCGGGTGGGCCGTGCAGCAAGAGGCCGAGCTTGCACGGGAAGCCCTTGATCGCGAACTTGCCCGACTTGTTGGTGAAGTTGTCGAGCAGCTGCACCACGTTCTCCTTCTCCTCGAAGAAGAGGTTGTCGAACGTCTTCTCCTCGCCCAACGCGTACCGCTTGTACTTCACCTGCGCGTCCTTGTCCAGAATGCTAGGACCACCAGCTTGGATGTAATAGTAGCGGAGCGTGTCCTTGGTGTACCGCTTGCGCTCCATGTCCTGGTAGTTCTTGAAGGCGCGCTTGATGAGCGCGTCGATGCGCTCGGATCCGTCAGGCAGCGTCGAGAAGAACTTGAAGTTGACGTTGGTCTCCGTGAGCGTCTTGGTCTTCTTCTCCTCCTTGTCCTCGGGCTCGACGGTCTCGTGCTTGAACTGGACGCCCTCCTCCACCTCGATCCACTCGTTCTCCTGGGGCAGCGCCTCCCAGCACAGACCGTCCACAGCGCCACAGTAGCCCTCACCATCGTCCGAGTCGTACGAGGACTCACTCGTGTCGTCGCCGACGTCTTCGCCGTCCGCGAGCGCCTTGTTCGTCTTCTTCTGCGGCCGGTGGAGCAGGTCGTACTTGGCGTCCTTGTTGGTCAGATCCAGCACGTCGGCCAGGTAGAGCGAGATGGCCTTCTGCAGCAGGTGGTTCTTCTGCTCGTAGTCCCAGATCTTGTGGCCCTCGGAGCTGAAGCGCTGCGTGATGCCGATGATCCGGTACACGCCCTCGGGCTCCGTCTTGCCGAAGATCAGGGCGTACATGCGGCTGAGCAGCGAGTCGCCCGAGCCCTGCAGGTACGTGACGAGCTGTTGCAGTAGCAGCGACACCACGAGGCACACAAAGGCGTCCACGACCACGTAGCCGGTGCTGAGTCCGCGCAAGAACTCGTCCGTGGGGTTGAGCGGGGTCTCCATGTCTGTCGGCTGCACTGAAGTAGGTGGGTCTCGTGTCAGGCCAGAGGGTGGGTGGATGAGTGAGTGAGTGAGTGAGTGAACGTTCCGCTCGGCCTTGGCAAATTGGACAATGCTCCGTCCGAGGCGAGGCGCAAGGTTTCCAGCGTTCGAGTCTTGGTTCCTTCGACGTAATGACTAGCCGAGCTTTGCCAGGTGATACTCGAAGGCGTGAGTGATGGTCATTTGGACCGTATCGTGATAGTTGCATATCCTATTACCTGTTTAGCTTTGTTGAAATGCGCTAGTCTCATGGTAGAGTCGGGTAGATGTAACATACAAACAGGTCTCCAATTATTCATATCATGCAAGACCGAATGGTATCTATTTTCGCTGGCTTCAACCCACCATCATTCACGGCAACTTCAACAAGCGACTGATTGTCTGGCTGACACTTCGATCGAAATGGGTACACCACGTCGTTATGATATGCAGATAACTTTGCCATGTGCTGATTGCCGGAAGCACTGGGGCCGCAAGACCGAGAGCTCACTTCCGAATTTGCACCGAGTCGCGTCGCACACGGCACACACCCCCCCCCCCCCACACACACACAAAGCACCCAGCGCCCACCTCCCGCACACTTCTATTCCCAGCTGCCGCCATGAGCTCCACGGCCGTCGAGTTCGGACTCATCAACACCTTCCGCACGCACAACGTGCTGGTCGACACGCTGCTCTGCATGCTCGTGCCGCTGCTCATCCAGAAGGTCGTGGCCTACGTGCAGCAGTCGCCCAAGTCCCTCTTCGCCATGCTCAGGCACTTCCTCTTCCCGGAGAAGGAGGAGCGCCGCGTCTCGCGAGTCATCGAGGTCAAGCAGCGCTTCAACCGCTGGGGCAAGGTCTGGGACTACGACCAGAAGAACCACCTGTTGCAGAAGGCCATCTCGCTCTACCTGGCCGACGTGCTGGACCTCAAGAGCAAGAACGCCCAGTACGAGCTACTCGAGAAGACCAAGCGGAGGAGGTCCAAGGCCACCAAGGCCCTGCTGGACGCGGCCGTCAGCGAGTCCGACTGTTCCACGACCGGCTCCGAGTCTTCGTCGGACAGTGACGACGACGACGAGTACTACGGCGAGGTCAACCGGCTCAACGTCGAGGCGCTGCCCCCGCTCAATGAGTGGATCAAGATCGAGCCGGGTGTGTACTTCAAGCACGAGACCGCCGCGCCCGAGAGCTCCGGCGGCGACAAGAAAGTCACTGTCAAGGAGTCGACGGTGAACTTCCGCTTCGAGTCGGCGCTGCCTGACGCGTCCAAGCGCATCGACGCCATCATCGACCGGGCCTTCATCAACTACCAGGCCATTGAGCGCCGCAAGCACGTGGAGGACAACGCCCGCTACTTCTACATCCAGGCTGACACTGCGACTGGCAGCGGCGGCGGCGGCGACGGCGACACGGCTACGCCTGTGGTCGCCTACAAGCGCTACGCGCTGGGCGAGGAGAAGACGTTCGACAACCTCTTCTTCGAGGAGAAGCAGCAGGTGCTGCAGCTGCTCGACAACTTCGAGTCGCGCTCGGGCAAGTTCGCCATCAAGGGCTTCCCGTACAAGCTCGGCCTCTTGCTGCACGGCCCGCCCGGCACGGGCAAGACCAGCCTCATCAAGGCCATCGCGCAGTACACCAAGCGCCACGTCGTCACGATCTCGCTCGGCAAGATCAAGACCAACCAGCAGCTGCTCGACGCGCTCTTCGACATGAAGTTCGCCGTACAGGGTCTGGACTCGCCGGTCGAGATGGACTTCGAGGACGTCGTGTTCGTCATGGAGGACATCGACTGCGCGTCTTCTATCGTGAAGGCGCGTGCGAGCGACGCCGCGGAGAGCAAGAGCGCTGGCACCGGCGACAAGCCTCAGCAGCAGTCCGAAGACGACAAGCTCGTGTCCTCGATGATCAAGGCCTGCCTCGAGGACGAGAAGAAGTACAACATGCGCAACGACAAACTCAACCTGTCGGGGCTGCTCAACGTGCTGGACGGCGTCATCGACTGCCCCGGTCGCATCGTCATCATGACGACCAACCACCCGGAGAAGCTCGACCCGGCGCTTGTGCGTCCTGGTCGTGTGAACAAGAAGCTGCTGCTGGGCTACATGGGCTGCGCGCAGATCCAGCAAATGATCGAGTACTACTGCGTCGCCAAGCTGGACGAGTCTCAGGTTCGTCGACTGGGTGACGCATTCGAGTTGTCGCCGCAAGCGTTCACGCCGGCAGAGATCGAGGAGCTATGCGCCGAGCACGAGGACGTGGACGCGGTGCTCGGTGGATTCGAGCGGCTCGCTGCGAGGCACTAAGGCAACACTGCACTGACACCTCCACACTACTGTACCATGCTAGACTGCACGTCTTTCTTCAAATCTTCATTAATCAATTCAACGACACTTGCGCAGTTGTATTTCCTTTCCTCCATGGTCGCGTCAGTCGCACAGCTTGAACGTGGGGCCCACGACCTTGGTCTCCCACTGGATGGCAAGCATCAAAATCTCCAGCATCCACACGTGGGCCCCGACCGCTTCCGTGCTGTACACGACTCCACCGTAGCTGAACATGACCGCCTGGGATCGTCGTTGAAGCTGAAATTCTAACCGAATATTCAGGTTACATTCCGTAACCCTCGTAACCATCAAGCATGCGCTGGGCAAGGTCGGCGGCGGCGGCGTTGATCGCCGGGCTCTGCGGCGCCCATGCGGCCCCCTCTCCGCTCCCAGGCACCCCGCTGCAAACTGTAGATGGTTCCGCTCTGTTCGCACTGCAAGAATCCTTCGATTCGTCGCTCGTCTGGGCCGAGTACGAGCGCTTCCTGCTGTCCAGAAGCCGACCTACGCCCCTGCTGCTCTACTTCGCCCCTGATCCGAGCTGCTTCGACGGCGAGCCACAAGACGAAGAGGATGAAGAAGACGAAGGTCAACAGGTGCAAAGTGTCTCTGACCCCTCAACCGCCGTGGGGGAAGCCTGCTTACGACATGGGGAGCTGGTGGAGGCGGCATTGGAGCGCGCGGCGGAGACGCTGTCCACCCCGCAGCTCCCCGTCGTGCGTGTGGACGTCCAGATGTGGCCCAAGATGCTGCAATATGTGAGTGCAATTGCTCTTTGAATCTTCTTTGTCACTTGGCTGGTACTGATGAGAGCGTCGCTGTTATCTGTGCAGCACCTTGTGTCGTCGACGCCGTCGCTGCTGTGGATGCCTGGACGCTCGTCCGGCCGCTTCCAGCGCTACCCGCACGTGGAGACCAACTTCCTGGACCTCAGCGTTAACGGGTCGCTCTTCATTGGCAAGTTGAGCGACATCAACTTCAGTGAGGGTCAGGGGAGCGAGATGGCCAAAGACGCAGTGGCTCGAGAGGTGGCGGCGTTTGTGCGTCTGTGCCAAGAGCGCAGTGGATACCTGGTGCGCAATGCGCGCGGAGGGCTTTCGCCAGCTATTCCGGTGAGTCACCGCCTTGGAGACGACGCGTCCTCGGTGCTGGAGCTCATCCCGATCTTTGGCTTCCTGGCGTTCATTGCCTTCGTGGTCAACGAAAACCGCGAGTTCGTCCTCGGAGTGGTGTGCACGCGAGTCTTCTGGTTTGTGCTCTGCTTAGGGGTCATCTACGTCGCGCTGAGCGGGCTCTTCCACTCGATCATCCACCGGCGAGCCTGGTACTACTTCGGTCGGGTGCATGGCTTCGTGTTCGTTTACCCGAGCTCGCGGCGGCAGTTTGTGCTGGAGGGGCTGGTGAATGGCACCTGGAGCTTCTGGCTGTCGCTCGGAGTCATGAGTATCTCGGACGTGGCACCGACGCTGCGCTCGCGCCTTGCACGGGAGGATGTCATTCGCTGGTCGCTGCTGCTCGTGGTCGTCTCGTACATGGCGTTGTACTTGACATTCCTGATGAAGTACAGGTGGCTGGCTTAGCGAGGACCAATTGAGGTAGCTTAAACGCAATTGATTCTTGTCTATGGCGTGTTACTGTGTTCCGTGCTGGTGGTGTTCAATCTAGACGGCAATCGGGGACTCTATGACCAGCTCTTTGGACGCTATCGCAGATCTTTGGCTTGTTGACTTGTCACGCTGGTCTTCTGCCTCGTTCTTTGGTTTCCTTTCCAACCAGAGCGAGAGATACACAAGCGCGAGCATGGTCGGGATCTCGATGAGCGCTGCGACGACGCTCATCATGGCGGGGTCGGAGTCCAGGCCGAAGGTGGCCACTGCGACGCCTAACGACAGCTCGTAGTTGTTGCTCGTTGCTGTAAGCGCCAGCGTCACGCTCTGCGCGTGGGTGGCACCGCATGCCTGGCTCATGATGATGGAGCCTGTGAACATGGCAACGAAGTAGATCATGAAGGGCACCATCGAAAAGAGCACGGAGCCGAAGGTGCTCGTGATGCGTTGGCTCTGCGACGCGAACAGCACCACGATCGTGAACAGCAACGCCACCACCGCCACGACGTCCAGGCGGGGCGTGAACTCGTCGAAGTACCAGGCGTTGCCCTTCCAGCGGCGCAGAAAGACCCACCCGGAGACCCCGAGCACGACATGTAGATGCCCACGTTGCTGGCCACCTCGCTCACCGAGATGTGAAGGGCTTCCTGCTCTTGCTCTTGTGAGTCGTCCTCGACCCCCATCGCGTTCGGCATCGTGCCGAGGAAGAAGCTCGCGTAGAAGGAGTAGAGCACCATGGTCCAGACGGAGTTGACAGCGATGAGAGCGGCCCCGTACTCGAGGTCCCCTCGAGCGAGAGCGATCCAGATCATGACCATGCCGATGCAGCGAGAGCAGCCCACGAGGCTAAAGCCGGCCATGAAGCCTGCGTCGTCGTGGAAGAAGGCCGCAGCCAGCAGGAACATGAGGAACGGACCCGCGACCCAGTTTTGCGCCGTCGTGAGCAGCAGCAGCAGCCAGTCGCGGAACACGGCGCCGACCAGCTCCCAGCGGACGTTCGCCAGCGGCGGGTACATCATGGCCAGCAGCCCCGCGCCCACCAGCAGGTTCATGCTCCCCATCGTCGTGGACTCGATGAAGGAGTGCACGGCCGAGAGCTGCCCCAGGCCGATGCCCGCGCCTGCCGACAGCAGAATCCACAGCGGCAGGAAGCGGTCGAGCACCGACAACTGGCCGGCGATGCCGCCGGCGTCGGCGTCGGCAGCGTCGTCGTGATAGTGGCCCTCCTGCATACTTCGCAGCAGAGCGGGCTGGTCCGAAAATGCGGTCGGGGAGTGTGAAGTGATGTGGGTCAGATTGAGCCGATGGCTGGGGCTTGATGCATTGCTTACTACTCGCTACTTAGTGCCGACCTACCTACTGCTTGCTGTGCCTAATGGACGTGGTTGCACGTCTTGCACTTCTTGTTCCAGACCTGGTGGATATGGGCCGCGAAGACCTGGCAATTGCAGGCGCGGCACGCCCCCATCATGCGAGACCTCTCGGCCAGCACCTCCTTGTGCTCCTGGATGCCGCGCATGGCTCGGTCCAGCGCCTCGTACAGGGGCCTCGCAGCCATGGGCTGGCCCACAGCTCCGCCGAGCAGCGCTCTCGCCTCCAGGTCCTGGCCGTAGAACTTGCGGTTCAGGTCGTTGCGCGTGGCGATCACGGAGCCCTGCAGCGAGATGCCTGCGTACAGGCCCTTGCTGATCGAGTAACTATAGTTGCCGTTGAGCCCGGAGCTGCTGATTGCCGCCGCGGCCGCTGCCGAGCGCCCGTAAGGACCCACTGCGATGTCGAGGCCTGCGCCCAAGTTGACTTGGGGCGAGTGGAACACCTGCACGGCGGCCGGGGAGCCCAGGATGATCATGACCTCGACGATCTCGCCGCCGATCTCGAAGCCGCCGCCCAGCCCCACGGTGCCGATGGCCGAGGGCGCAGACCAGGACCCGTCCGGCAGCCGCGAGATAACGATGCCCGTGCCAACCTTGCCCACGACGAGGAAGCCAGCCTTGACGATCGTCATGATGGCCAGCCCATGGGCGTTCTCGAGCATGGAGATCGGAATCGACCTGTCCCCCGACGCGCCCGAGTCGTTCCGGAAGAAGTTGCTCACGATGTCAGCGGCGTTGGTGCATTCCTTCTCGAGCGAGGGCGAGAACGGCACGTGGAGTCGCGACTTGGCCTCGTACGGGGCCGTCTCGGCGTTGGCCTTGGCGAACCGCGCCACCAGATCCTCTTGCAGCGGACGCAGCTCGGGCGAGCAGTGCAAGCACACCCGCTGCGGAATGGACGGGTCGTAGCCCCTGGCGCCTTCGATCTGGCCGCCTTCCGGGATCAAGAGCATCAGCGGCGAGCAGTTGCCGCACACGTAGCGACCGCAAGCGCGGCTGCAAGCAGAGAGACCGTTAGTTAGAAGGGGTCCGTTAAGCATACCGTCTCCAACACAACGGAGCTAGCTCACCACTGGTGCCGGCGCTTGGTGACGTCGAAGGCCAGCGCGCAGACGTCGCAGTTGGGGTGGTCCGAGTACCGCCCCTTGAGAATGCCGGAGCTGCTGGAGCTCGACAGCACGCGTCGCCCACTTCCCGCCGCCTCCTGCCCACCGTTGGACGAGGCCGACGACGCGGACGAGTTGCGGGCGTTGGCTCCACTCGGCACAGCTCCGTCTCCGTCCACGTACACGACGGGGATGGCCGGCGGCATGCTGTTGTTGTGGGAATTCTGGTACAGCAGCGCCTTCTGGTCGCGCTCCTCGAACGACATTTGCTCCTGGAAGCGCGGCGGCGTCCGCTGCTGCTGCTGCTGTTGGTGGTTAGCGGTGGGCTGGTGCTGGTTGGGCTCCTGCTGGGCGAAAGGCGCCCCACACTCGGAGCAGAAGCGTCCGCTTCCGCTCGCTCCGCAGAGAGAACAAAGCGGCATCCAGTATTCGCTGTTCGGAAGTCGATTGAGGAATGCGTCGAGATGCGGGACAAACTGCACCCCGCCCCGTAACGCGAAGGCTCTGTCCACCACGCGGCAAATCCAGCGGAGGAGCTAGCAGAGACGTACGCGCGCCTGACAAAGATGCAAACCAGACTTCAATTGCCAGTCGGAACTGATCTCTGTCTTACGATTCCTGCCTACTGCGACCATCATTTACTCAACGCCAAGCGCGGCCGACGAATTGCAGCCTATTATGCCACGAAGGACGCGGGCTCGACGCCCACGCCGCCGCAGTGCTGGTGCACGAGCCTGGCGAACTGCAGAGCGAGAGCGTCGGCGTCCTGCTGGGTGTCCGCCTCGGCGTACACGCGCACGGCGTCCTCAGTACCCGACGCGCGCACGAAGGCGCGGCCGCGCTTGTTGGCGTACTCCTGCAGAACGGCGTCGAGCGCAGAGCGCAGGCTCTCCGGGGCCAGCACGATGGTGTCGTCCTCCTCGTCTGACTTGATCACGCTGCGGTCCGCGACCTTCACCTTGGTCTGGCGGCTCGGCAGGTCGTTGTAAATGGCGTCCCAGTCGCTGATGCTCCAGTTCTTCTGGATCAGCAGCGCCTCCACGAAGAGCAGGTCGCACATGGCGTCGCCCGTGGCCTGGTTCACGAGCTGCGAAGCGGCCAGCAGCTGCGACAGCGCCAGCTTCTTGCGCTCGTCGTGCAGCGTGTTCTCCCACTTGTGCAGCTTGTCCATCAGCGCGTCCTTGAAGACCACCGTGCCGTGGCCGTTGGCCTCGAAGTACACGGCCATATCGAACTGCGTCGCCTTCTCGTGGCAGTACTTGACGCCAGTCTTCGCCTGCGCGACGCGGATGCCCTGGGACTGCAGGTACTGAGAGGCCGCGCCGTTGACGTACGCGGTCATCACGCAGCCGAACGTCACGCCCTCCTGATCCAGCTCCAGCGCGCGCAGCTTATCAGTCAGGAACTCGGCGAACAGGCAAGCAATCTTGTTGCCGTCCAGCAGGTGCCACGTGCTCTCGTCATCGAAGTAGTGGAACACCACGCGGTCGCCGTCGCCGTCCATGCTGCAGTAGCGGCGGCCGCGGTCGTTCTCACGGGTCATGTTAGTGGGCGGCTGGCGCGACTTTTCCACGTGCTCGGCGCCGCACTGGAGGTTCAGCTCGCCATCGCTCGGGGTGTTGACAATCTCCAGACGGAGCGAGTCGCCCAGATCCTTGGCCAGCTTCGCCACCTGCAGAGCACCGACACCGTGGGCGCAGTCCACGTACAGCGGCGATCGGGTCTCAAGGCGCTGAGGCAAGATACAAACAGGACCACGTCAGATCCATTGCCAATAGCTCTTGATAGGGGAAAGATAACGAAATCTCACCTTGGAGTCGTGCGTGGCCGTGAGCTGCTTGAAGGCGTCGCTCAGCATGTTGTAGTAGCCCACCTCGGAGGCCCAGTCGCCCTTGTTGTACTGCTCATAGTTCCACTACATATAACAGCAACCCCACCCATTAGTTGTCGATCTCTCCATTCCCCCCTTCCTCCCTCCCCATTAGAGAGTCACGTACCATGCGCACGAGGTGGTGCAGCTGCGGGGTCGTCTGCAGCCCGAAGTCCAGCACGTTGCCGCCGATCACGAGCGCTCCCTCGCGCGCCAGCTCCGCCAGGTGTTCGCTGGAGGGGCGCGTGTCCTTGGCAATGAAGATGTTGCCTGTCTGGTCGAGGTCGATCTTCTCGGCCGCCACGACCGCGTCCAGCACCTCCACGACCTTGTCCTGCGCCGCGTTGGCCAGCTGCATGGCGTACTTCTCCCAGCGCTGGCTCAGCATGTCGCCCTTGGGGTCGATGATCTTGAGCCCGTTGTCGCTGGCCGCGTTGTGCGAGGCCGTGATCATCACGCCCACGATCTTGCCCACGCTCTTGGAGCGCAGCACCGCCAGCATGCCCATGCGGTGGCACGTGGACACCAGCAGGCTCGCGTCCTCGCGGAAGCCCGCCGTGCCGTAGCGCAGCTCGCGCGCGCCCAGGCTCTCGGCGCGCGGGTACTTGGCGGTCTCCTCGGCCACGCGCGGGGTCTTGTCCAGCACGCTCATGTCTGTCTGCGGTCGGTCTTCTACGGCGCTATTGCGAATGTGTTGGGAATGATGCCAAGGCTCCGTTCACGACCAACGTGGACGGGAACATGGGGCGCATGCTGGTCGTAACGGATGCCGATTGGCGAGAAAGCGCAAATAGAGATCTTTGATTGGTAGAAAAAGGCTCCTCGTGTTCGCGATGAAACAACAGGGCCAATTGCAAGAGAGACTGTCGTTGAACGAACTTGTTCGTCCACATCGACAATGCCATGAACGTAGGTATTGTAGTGAGCCGATACTTACACGTCTGCGCGGAATCGGGATCGTTGCATTAGTTGCTAGCTACCGAATAAACTTTATAAGGGCGCGGGGCTGGTGGGTGGGCGTGGTGTCGACTGATAAATACTCTCCTATGCCTTTGGGCATCGCTGCCTGGCTGCCTGTGTTGTGTGACCGAGTTGCCCGTCTCGGTGTGGCCAGGCGATCTGCCTCGCTCGCTGTCTACTGGGTGTGTTGGCTGGCCGCCTTCTGCGAGGGCGGTGGAGGCACGTTGGAAAACTGCTGCGGCTCGTCCGTCGCCTCGTGGGCCGACACGAGGATGTTGTCGATGGTCTGCACGGCGTTTTCCACGTTCTGGAACGCGCCCACGAGGTAGTGAAGCTGCCGCAGCAGCACCAACAGCCTTGCGTCCGTCGCCTTCTTGGCGGTTTCCAATCGCGTCTTGAGCGCCTGCAATGGCAATGCAACAGATCACAATTGGTTAGTCATGCGCGCAGAACACGACGGCGATCCACCACAAACTTACCATCGTGCGGCGATACTGCGCCAAACGGCTAGATCGACAGGCTGGACAGGGTGTCGGCTCGCCCGTCACGTCGTCGACTCCCCAGTCACCGCAGCCATTGGATCCGGTCGAGCATCGCCCGCCCAGATAGTACGCCTGCAGCGTATCGTACTCGTCGGCGTTGAACGGCAGCTTGGCAATGTCGGAAATGACCTTGCGAACATGAACCTCCATCGTACTCTCGTAGCGTGGACTCTTAAGCGAAAGTCGCTTTTCGCAAGACCCACCAGAGCGCGGGAAGCGACCCATTGACCCACGCGACGGGATCCGAATCACGCGCGGCGGACGGTTGCTACTCGTTTTGGATGGAGAGCTGCCCCCGCTGCCACCTGCTGAGCTGGATGCACCGTTGCCCGGGCCATTGTGAGGAGGCGGGAGCAGCCCAAGCAATGCGTTCGCACTCCCTGAGCGCGAGCCGCCACTCCCACCTCCGTTGGCACTGCTAATACTACCCGACGACGAGCCTGCCTTCAGGTTGCCCTCGAGCTTCTGGAACTTGGGATGTTGTACCACCGGCGACGAGCTCTCGCCAGCATCGCTATCTGCACCTGAGTCTGCCCCTGCTGCTGACCTGTCTGCTCCTGCATTTCCTGCGTCCTCTGTTGGTTTCCGCTTATGGCTGGGAGGAATGCCTGACGCGGAGGCGGATACTAGACTGGCGGCACGTGCATCGTGCAGTCCCTTCAGCACCAGCTCGTTTCGTGTGAGTGTATCTGATTCTCTTCTGCCGTCACCAGAGCTAGACGGCGCAGGCACCGCAACCACTAGACTCAAATCTACGCCTGTAAGCTTGAATAGCACGGAGTGCCCATTGGCGTTAATGGCACCCACGATGCAGGATGCAGCGTAGTTGTTCGCGCCCTTGGTAGCTAGCGAAGCACCGTTGAGGCTCGGGTGCTGGTTCTTTTTCATGTATTGAGTGCTCGCCCAATCGTGGCCATCCACAAGCAGACACAGCAACGCACGGCTACGAGCCAACCCCACCACGCTCAGCTCGCGCAGCCCCAACAAGGACATGTGAGTGTAGCTCAGATCCAGCACTCGCAGCTCGGCGTTCTGGGCCAGCAACGCTCCGAATGCGCTAGCGCCCACGTCTCCCAGCGGGTTGTGATCCAGGTACAAGTTCTGCAGCCGATTTACTCCGCACAAAGATCGAGCCAAGGCGATGGCTCCCTCCTGATCCACACCGTTCTTTCCGAGCTCCAACGTCGACAGCGCTACGTGGCCCGTCGCAAAAGCCGAGGCCAAATGACGCACTCCCGCGCTCCCGCCTTTGTTCTGTCCCAGCGTCAGCTCCTCCAGCGACTTGTTATGTGTCAGGGCCGTGGCGAGACTCTGCATTCCCGCGGCGCCGATGCCATTCGTTCCCAGATACAGCGCTCTGAGCGCTGTGTTGCCCGCAATCCCATCTGCCAGAAAGCGGGCGCCTTCTTCTCCAATGTTGTTGCCGCTGAGGTGCAGACTGCGCAGATGCGTGTTCTTGGTCAGCGCCTGCGCCAGCGCGCGCGCACCTGCGGGTCCGATTTCGTTGCCTGAGAGGTACAGACTCTCCAGCGACGAGTTGGTTTCTAGCGCCTCCGCGAGCTGCGTCGCGCCCTTGTCGGTGAGGCGGTTAAAGCCGAGGTCCAACGTGCGCAGCTTGGACGCGCCGTGGGCCAGCACGTCGCTCAGCAGCCTAGTGCAGGCATCGCCCAGAGAGAAGCCGCCGAGCTTGAGCACGCTGTACGGCGCCAGGTCTTTGCGGATGCGCGCGCTCACGGCCTCCCAGTCGGTGGCGGCCTTGGCGGCGGCGTCCACGTCGCGGTAGTATCTTCGGATGTGGTTGTGGATGAGCTCGCGCGACGGACAGGCGTCGGGCTGCGCGGCTGCGTCGTCGTCCGGCGCGGCGTTGGCGGCGGCGGGCGGCGGCTTGTTCTCCGAGTCGTCGCTGCTGCTGCTGCTGCTGAGGGTGGCGGCCTTGCGCTGCGCCCGGAACTCGCGCTCGCTGTACTTGAAGCGCGCGCTCACGTCTCGCATCATCCGGAGGCGGGCGGTTGGACGGGAGGCGCGCGTCGAGGCGGCGGCGGCGGTCTGTACGAGCTGCTGCGGGGCGCTGTGGTCGTTCGTATCCGCCTGCACGCGGAAGGCGGAGCAAGAGGCGGCGGCGTCACACGTCGCTAATGGCGCGAGTGCGAGAGTGCGGCGTTGGCTGAAAAGCGTGACTGCGAAAAAAGAACGGCGCGCCCTACCATTGGTGCAAAAGAATCGCATTTCGTCCAATCCCCGATGGTTTATGCGGAAAGCTTGCGGCGTATAAAAGGGGCAGCTGGGGGCGGCACTGCTCACGCCGCTGTGTGTCTGGGCGTACGAGGCGATGGCGCTGCACGCGGCGGACGCTTCGAGCGGCTGAAAACCGCTACGACGTCCGTGCACGATGGAGAGCAGTTTGCGGCGACGCAACTGCAGCAAGTTCATAGCTCGAAAAATACATTTTACCAGCATAAGAGCGATTTTCTTAGTTTAACTTCATTTGTGATTTGTATGTCTTTAAAAGTTGTGTTAAGCGCAAATCGGCTACAGTGGCTGGTTTTGTGATGGCCCTTTTTTGGCCGATCTACTTTTCGAATACGGCGGGCGGGCAAAGGTTCTCCGAGCAAGCAGACAGGTTTGGAGGAGCTCGCCGGTGGCGAACATCGGACAGCCCTGCTGTCGGCCTGCCCGTTAGCCATCCTGCTTGTGGCCTGCTGGCATCAGCGCCGACAGCCCCTCGGTCAGGCCATTTCGGGGAGCAAATTTGTCGGTCGCCTCTCCCGAGCTGCACCCGTGCGGGCCGTCCAGCTGGCTAGGGCAGAACGAGGCGTGTCGCCATCAGCAGCAGCAGCAGCCGTCTCCGCTTGGTTCGAGCTCGCTTGGTGCTTGGAGCGCGGCATTTGTTAAACGGGACGCTCGCGTGTGTCGCTTTCCGCTGCTGCATTATTAATACATTGTACTCCTCAAAATGGCCGGGGCTCGGTGCGGAGAGCAGGAGTCCAGCAAGCTTGCTACTGCTGGGAATACATGCAGCGGCAGCAACACGTGAGTCAACTTCAGAAGCGAGCCTGAAGCGGGATAGGGCGGCAAACCGGGCGACGCGTTGCAAACAGAGCTTGTAAACGAACGCCGAGCCCTGTGCAGCTGACGTGTCCGCGAGAGCGCCGCATTTGGGACCGTGTGCAGCGCTCTCACGCTGGAGTTGGGCCTCTGTGTGATTGCGAACATCTCTGTTGAGGGCCGCGAGAACTGCGGTGGAGCCACTCGCAGCAGCATGTCCAGAGGACAGTTTGACACGGAGTCCAGTCCCTGTCGCACGCCAGCAGCTCCCTCCTGCTCGGCCGTATGAGTGAGCCGCCTCGACTGTCGAGGCCGATCGCAGCATCCTGCTTTCCTCGGCAACTGATTGAGGCCACGCACTTCGGTCGGCAGTGTACTTCGGCGTTGTGCGCCGGTTTTCGTCATGTGGGGCAAGTCGTCGACAATGCAAGCGACTCAGAGGAGATGCGCTTGACCCACACCTTCTACGACGAGCCCGTCTACTTCAAAAGTGGGCTCCCCCTAAAACGAGAGCCAAAAGTCGCACAAAATGGGCTCCCTCATGGTAAGTACGAGATCAAGGAGCCCTGGTTGGCTCCTCCAGGGCTCCCCAAATTTAGCTTCCAATCTATGACGGGCTCTTCATAGTAATATCTGATTGGCCAATTTTACCTAGACTTAAGGCGAGCAACTTCGCGTGATCGATGCGCCACGCTAGAAGATCGAGCTCAAAGATCGCCACACTAGAAGATCTCGCGCCGCTCATATGTGTACAGCCGCTCCGAGGCCACCCCAGCGTCGCCGATAGTCCTTCCTTCCCCTCAAGGAGAAGCCCTCTTTCCTATGCCTTTTCAGGTTAGAACCTGGAGATACTTCAATGACGGCCAATCATCAGCGAGATATTTAACACAGGTGAGGGGGAGCCCTTAACGAGGGCTCACAGTTCTGGAGGGCTCCTTTCACTTAACCTATTGAACTCATGAGCCCAGGAGCCCGAGCTCGCGACTTTTTGGGTTCACCCAAGAGCCCAGGAGCCCGGCTCTCCCCAGGGCTCGTAGAAGGTGTGGCTTGACCTGTCTGAAGCAGAGACGGTCCCCCGGACGCCGTTATCAACAATTTGTTTTGC